AAAAAATAAATAAATTGATATCAATATCGTGTATTATCACTTTTTATAATAAAATTATAATTTTAAAAAGAGAAGTTATAACTATTTAATAAAAAAAATAATAATAATTGAAAAAAAATCCCTTGATCGATTATAAACTCTCAATATCAATCATAACCTTCAATAATCAATTATACCTTTTAAAATTGTAACTTTCACTTTAAAAAAATTATCTCCAAACTCTATATTCATTTGAACCGTGCAAATGGGTTTTTTAAGGGTCCCACCCAATAAATTTAATTCATTTAATTTGATCGAAATTGACAAAATTCGAACATTTGAGAGATTTATTTGATCCAGTGCTTTTCCTTCTCATGGAACTTTCTCTCTCTCTCTCTCTCTCTCTCTCTCACTCACACACACACACACACAAACACAAACACACACGGATACAAGTTTCTGAAGTCCCAGAATGCTTTCTGATCTTTCTCAGCAGGAAAAATAGAGGGTTGATTTGTCATGGTCTTATAAACCAAGGACAGCTACACCATCCCCAAGACATACATGATACATATACACAGTGGTTTGCTAGTACCCTCTACCCCAGAAATTTGCTAACCCTTCACAGTGTCCGTCAGACTATGATCCTCCAGTTAAAATTAAAACTATTGAAGGGGAAAAAAAAAAGGAAAATAATTACGAGCAGATGGAAACTTGGTGAAGGTTTCCACTATAACGAGGCTAAGCAAATTAGTTCGCCAGACAATTCCTCTACTAATAGCCCGAAAATAGCAAGCTCGATTTCCATTGCTGGCTCTCCAATCTGCTCCTGATATCTATTCCATCCATCGACCTTTCGTCTAAAGTCCGAATCAACCATCATATCGATTGTGTTTGAATTTACATCCTTCCATGAATCCAACCTCTTGCAGACCCTTTTTGCCACGGCTTCATTACCATCCAAGCCATCCATTTCTCTCCTCTCCTCATCGATGAGGTCTGCCACCAGCCTCTTCATGTGTGCTGGGATTGTAATTAGGTGATGGAGGCTTAATATGCTGAACACTTCTCTCACAAGCTCATCGACATTGTTCTCACTAAGCAGTTCATTATCTTCACATTCATCTTCTTCCTCTTGGAGTTCATTATCATCTTCGTCGTCCTGGTCGTCTAGCATTATTTTCTCGAGTTCAATAGGATCCAGCTCTGCCAGTTTCTCAAACCTACGAAGCTTGTGCAAAAGCTGCTGCTTTGCTCCTGTAAGTGCAATACGAAAAGGCAAACAGAAATCAGAATAAAATACTGATTTGATAATTAATGGAGTTTGATTTGGACCATAGAAATGTTGTGACTAAGTAAAGAACATGATGGCTGAAAGGTGACTGGTGTTTGATTTGTTGTAAAGAAAAAAAGATGCAATCAATAAAACAGGACAAAGAAGATAAGATAAGACAACCTTTGATTAACAAAGAATCCTACGATAAATAAAGCCAAATGCCATTAGAGATACTATTTCTGAGCCATGGAAAAATGTAATCCTTTTGGGGTAATCTATGTGCAAGGGAAAAATACAATTTACCGAAAATAAAAAATGAGAGACATTGAATGTTCACATTGAGTAAGGTTGCACATTTAAACTTTGAAATCTTGGTTGGCCAAAAGTACTCAGACAAAAGTTGAAGAACAGAGAGATCATAACTCGATGAATTCCACTGGACTTAAAGGGCAGAAAAGTTCAAAACTTTACTACAAGTTAACATTCCTCGCCCTCAAAAAAAAATTTATCAAACATTCAGCAGCATGTAAAATAAGAAGTCCGACAACAAAATGAAATATATAAATATGATTATGGTGCCATAGTTCCATAGAATGAACAGGACTATGATCATTAAGAGATAACCCCACCACCAAAATGTGGGTCATACAAGAAGTTATGACCATGTTAGCCATGTTTCCCATATAGATAAAATGAGGTCACAATACAAGAAACTGAGTGTACATCTGACAACCATGGTCCAAGGACTTGAATACCCATATGAACATCTATGATCAAAACCGCCAATACTTCAATGGATCCCATAAATAATTCATATATTTCAACATCAGCGTAATCAAATTGATTACGACCCCCTCAATCTATTTCAACAAACACAGGCATAAATGAATGCATATACCAGAAAAGCAGAAAAGGACTGCACAACCGAAATGGAGTAGAACAAAACTGCAGGTTATGACAAGAAAACTGTTACATACTTTGTACAATTGCATAGCTGCATTCGAGATCATAACCTTCCTCTTCCTGGTCACCACCTTCATGTTCGTCATCCTCATCGTCAAATGGAGGTTCTAATACACATACTGGACTGCATTGCTCCTTCTCTTCCTCTTCTAGTTGGATTTTTTGTAAGTTCTCTACTTCATAGTTCTCTTTCTCCTATTAAAAAATCATGGAATCACTATAGTGATCAAGACATTCTTATAGCTATCTATGACTAGAATACAATCTTATAAATTGTTCCGCTAAGGAAATTATTGCATTAGATCATGACTTGTAGAATGATGGCTTGGGGTCTTATTCCACTTTTCAATGCCTTACAAGGATTGGATATTATTAATGGGGTCCAACTGATAAAACAAAACTCAATTTGTCCTTTGTTAGAAAAAGAAATTTAGATTAGGGGCCATTTATAAAATATTTTGGTGGCAGAAGGGTGATTAACAGTAGAGTTAGGAAACAAACAGAAAAAGGGTTGATGCCTAAATAATTAACACATCGGAGGAAAATTGTCATTTCGGGTCGGCATTTGGTCACTGCATCAGAACATGAAGATCCATTTGCCGACAGTTCAAACGAGTCAAACTCGGCAAGCGAGACAATGAGTTGACTCAGTCCATCCTGCTAAATTAATCACAGGAACCCAACATTTTTACCATATATACAAAAAAATTAGTGAAAATCCAAAGCAAATAGTGAGCAATGAATTAACAAATACTTCAAAAAAACATAGTGTTATTGATATATTAAATAACAATGCATGTATCATAAAATTTGATACAAAATCTAGAATGAATTAATTGACAAAACGATAGACTAATAACAATAAGACAGGCATGTTCATACATAAGACCTTTAATAAATCACAATGGTATAACAGGATTCTATACTTAAAGACAGTATTTTGTTGAGTAAGATTGAGTTGTAACAAACATAACAATGACTAAAGAACTATGCTTTTTTTTTTGCAGACTACGATTCTTCTAATGCATTTTTGCTCCATTTAGTATAATTCGGGTCCAAACTAATATATGGTAAGTGATTTATCAAAAAAAAGAACTTGCTAGTGGACCAAGTCAATTTTTTTTTCTTTTTTCTTTTTTCTTTATCCAGTAAATATAATTCCTTTTTATTACATAAACAAAATAACAACCCCAATTGATAGCTCCACTGATAACATCGACAAGCTGTTAAGACATTTTCAGTTTGAATTTTAGGGTCAGGCCATGAGAATATCATACTCTTCACATGAATGACCCGGTCTTTAATCGGATCAAAAAAGGAATTGGACCAAGAAAAAACATTAGTCAGACTGCACGTAAGCAGGGCGGACACCCTTTGAACCAAAAAAAAATAGACAAACCTCTTTTTTGTGGCGACTGGGAGATGTAGCCGGCGTCAAGAAATCCGGGGTCCGGCGACCAGAAGAAGGGCTTTTCTGAATAGAAAATCGGAAAGGGCTTGAGCAGAATTGATTTTCACAAGAAGTAAAACCTCCATTTTCTCTCTCTTCAGCCACAAACTCAATCTCTTCCATGTCCTCAGACCTGCAACTACTAGAGGTCTCCAAATCCAAGGACTTCTCTTCATTGCTTTCCGACCAACCAGCACTGCTAAGCCTACTGTTATTACAAGAACAAGAAAAACCCATCTCATAAGCAGTTTTATCATCCACAGCCACCGCATTTTCCTGCATATTCTCGCTCTTTCTCGAGATTTTTTCACGCCCAACGGGCAACTCATTTGATGAAACCCTGATCTCTGCGTTTCCGATTTCATTCCTTTTGGTCTGGTTTCGATCTTTCAGCCTCTTCAGAATTGACCCGAATAACCCAGATTTTACATTTCTAATTTGGGTTTTGGTTTTTGTACACGATGACTGTTTCTGAATTCTCATCGCAGCTTCAAGAAGCAAAGCAGCAGTTCTGGTTGGTATGTGAAGAAACACAGACCCATTCGGACTTTTACAAGGGCTTTTCGGCTCCGGTGCCGGGAAATTCAGAGAAGGTGATTTTCTACCGTCCGGTGAGTCATGGAAAGGGAAAAAACAGGCTTGCTTGTAGAGTCTACGCTTGGTTTTTGAGCTCTCAACAATGGGTTTGCGTTTCTTGACTTGTAAAGTGGTTTTGGGAGTGGGTCGTTTGAGTTGCCAACGCCTATCTGCAATGTAATCCTTTAACTGGAATGGTTGTTGATCTTCTTTCAATAGCTCATGTAAATGCTTTTGAGACATTATGAAACAGGTTAATCACTAGAGCATGAACTAATTATAAGGATGGCAAATGAATTGGAGATTTTTTAGAGTGAAATTTTCAAATGGGTTTGGTGTTTCGAAGGATGAAAATTGTTGAAGAGGTTTTAATCACAAGTGGGCCTTCGAAGGGGAAGATTGAAAGTAGAAAACTGGAACAAAAATAGTGGGGAGAGAGAGAGAGATTAGGGGACTTCCTGATTCAAATATTGGGTTTAGTAGATCAAGGCATGTCATAAAGAAATTACTGAAAGAAATACCGGTGTAGTTGGGGTGGGGTTGGAGTCGGGGTCGTTGTGGAAGACTGTAGATAGTACTATAAGGAGCAGCCAAACCTGTCTCCAGGAGGACGGGGTTGATTTTCTCTCTCTAAAGGTCTATCGATACACAGAGAGAGAGGAAACAGCTGTATATGCAATTTTGTAGAGTTATTTATCACAATGCAGTAATTTTTAAATTTTATTATTGATTTATAATATTTTTAAAACTTAAATTTTAAATTATGGTATTTTTTAAAATCAGAGTCAACAATTTAATATTTTTTAAAAACAGGGTCAATAACCCTACTTTGAAATAAAAATTGAGATCAATATTATAATGGTTACAAATGAAAAGTGTATTTACTAGACAAATTTTTTTACTAAACATACTTTTCACTTGTTGTCCACAAAATTTTCATATTTATATCATATTTTTTATTTAAAAATAAAATTATTGACTCTATTTTCTAACAAAAGTAAAGTTATTAAACCTACTTTCTAATAAAAAGGGTTGTTAAATTCGCTTTAAAAAGTACTATAATTTAATAAATAAATTTAAAAATGCATTGGTAATAGAGTTTGATATTTGTTGCATTTTGATAAATAACTCAAATTCTGTACCAATCTTTATTTTGTTACGTGTATTTATTACGGATAAATCAATTAATAATTTTTTATTTAATACATTTATAACTATTAATTACTATAAAATGATAAATATTTATGTAAAAAATTAAGAAAAAAATTATTTTTTTGGCAACAGGAACCTGTATATCACATATCACATAGTACACGAGAACTGCGCTGCCTTTATCGGACCAATGGATTCTTTCCACCGAGTTCACCTCCAGACATTGCCCTGCCCGACATAACCTGCCAAAAATCGGATTTTATTTGAATTCCATTTCAAATCCGATTTTTTTATGGATATAAATAGTTTCATCCACAACTTAAATTCGAATTAGAGGTTCAATTTTTTATTTTTTATTTTTTATTTTTTCATATCACATCTTCTGAATTTAAATTTAGTTATAAAAATATATTTAATTCTTACTCAAATATTAATTCGAATTTAAATTTGACACAAAACAGACTTGAAACAAGTTTCAACTTTTCACTCAAACTCATAGCAAGTGAACGAAGATTCGAATTGTTATTCAAATATCTAATTGTTACATTTCAACTTTTTAAGAAAATATAAAAAAAATTTGGAGGCCGGTCTTCTTATATGGACTTATTTAATGATAAATCCGTCAATGAAACTTATTTGATTTTAAGTCTGTTTTTTATTAATTTTACTATTGTATCCCTTCCCTGTAAGAATGTTATAAACTACTTTTATTGACACAATAACCTGTTATATACATCTCCTTCATAATTATCTTCAAATCTGGCTACAATCTTTCAAGGCACAATATTTCTTTATCCAAAAAACAAGAAATCAGTATTTACCAAAAATGTTCATATTCAAATTTCAAACTCATTACATTTCATAAAATACAATTTCAATTTACTATTCCAATTTACTTTGGACTCCACCAACAAAATATTAATATTTAAAAAAAACAATAATAACATACTTAACAAAATCAGTAACATGGTCACTAAAAAAATAGTAACATGGTAAAAAAGTAATAACAATTAGGGATTTAATTTTGTCAAAGTGAGCATTAACTTTGTAACTAAGATTCAAGAAAACTCATACATTAATACTAAATTAAAGTATTATAGATTTCAATTTTGTTGATTTTTTTTTTTTACGCAAGATAATCGAGTTTTTTTTGGTTATGTTACTGTAGAAAAAGTTCATGTATACTGTACGTGAACCGAAAGATAAAGTTCAAAATTTTGATGTCTTGATGTTCACAATTGATATTGAGTATCGTAAGTCAAATCTCGATTGTGTGTTACTACTCGTCATTTTTGTAATTTTAATTTGTGGATCTTATTTTCACTAAAATCATTCAAAAGTTGATGTTACTGTAAAAAAACTGTTGTCTTGTATTTTGTAAAATTAGATGTGTTACTGAGTACAAAATTTTGATATTTCTGTGAACATTAAAGTGTATGTTATTTAATATACGTTTCAAGATTTGCAATTGTGTGTTAAAATTCATTATATTAGCATTAGTGTCAGTATAGAAATATTATTTTACTGACAATACGAGTCTAATTGTAATTTCAATCATAGAATAACATAAAATGTTACTATATATTAACATTCGTGTTATTGAACTCAGTCAACATTATTCATCCTCCTTATATTATGCATTATTGTTGTTACGAAAATTTTGTGATCTGATTTTGAATTAATAGACCACAATTTATTCGTACATTAAGCTTCCCATATATAATTATCAAAATATATAACTTTCATATAAAACTTTTGTTAATTATCATAATATTTAATAAACAGTTTTTATATATAATTCAATCAATGATTTTCATATATAACTCAATAATCTAACCTATGCGACTTTCCATAATTGGACAAAACAAATACCGTTAGGGGTAATTTTGAGATTTAAAAAATAAGTGGACTTAAGTACTTACATATAAGTTTAAACATGGAATTACCCCCAAATAAGTTTCCTTCCAGGACTCAAGTCATTATAAGTCCATCTAAAGAAACTCACCCTCAATTTTCACAAAAATATAATAATCATATTTCAGAGTCTTTTAAATTTAGATTTGCCTTTTTTTACACATGAGTTTGTATATTGGATTGAGTTATATTAAATTAAATTTGTACTCAAAACTAAATAAAAATTTGAATCAAGGATGAAGATAATCTAATCAATTTGATTGGGATTATTTTTACATAGGGTATGAATACATAATGAAATAAGTTAAATATTTGTTAAAATTATACGTTATTTAACTTATTGGCCAGGGTGATCTTGGTTGAATTTTTTATTTTATATGAATTCAGACAAAGGTTATAAAAATCAAATACGTCGTAAATAAAAGTATCTCTAACAGACTCTTTATTTTAAAGAGTATTTTCTATAAAAAAAAATTAAAATAGAGAGTTAATTTTTATATTTTTTTTTTGAGGAAAAGGGAGACTTGAATTTTTGATTTTAAGAAGACAAAACATTCACAAGGTAAGAAATATTATTGGACCAAAAATCTATTAATTAATTTATAATTTGAGATTAATCCTAAAATAAGTCAATTTTTTAAGTTTGATTTCATATAGATTAGAAGTATGGAGAGTAAACGGTATGGTCAATAAAAAAAATCAACTTTAGTAAAAGATCGAAGGAAAAATAGGATGAAAGTCAAATTTAATTTAAAAAAGAATAAAAAAATAATAAGAATAAAGAGTCATCGGAGTGGTACATAAAAGTTGGAATTAATCTCATATTGTACCTCGAAAGATCATTCGAATTTTAATTTGTACCCTCAAAAATAAAAAATCTCAATTTACACCTTCAAAAATATAAATTTGAATTAATGTGCACCTTAAGCTAACAACCGTCAATTTTTCATCTAAAATGAAATGGATAAATTATAGTTAGACCTTCTCATACTTGTCACTTAATGACTTAGACCCCACATATTTCAAATATTAAACCTACATCCCTTGAGAATCAAAAATATGAGTAAAAATATTTCCCTAATTGGACATTCAAATAATTATGTTTAAGTGATATATTGCATTGGATATAAAAAAAAATATAAATACTTACATTATATTGAGCATTCAAATGATAAACTTGATTTTAAACTTTAGATATAACGGACCCACAAAATAAATAGTAGTATAAAATTATAATTTTTTATTAAGATAAAATCATATTTTTTAACGATTATATTAACATGTATTAATGACAAATTGTTATGTATTACATGTGCACAAACGTCAAGAGGTGTAAAAATATATATTAAATGTGCGAGAGTTCAAATAATTAAGTAACAAGTATGAAGGAATTTATGTATAATTTATCCATTTAGTTTTAGACGGCAAATTGACGGCTATTAGTTTTTTCTGCACTTTGATACAAATTTGTATCTTCGAGGATACAAATTTCTATTTTCGATTGTGCAAATTAAGATTTTTTATCTTCGAGAGTATAAATTAAGATTCGAACGATCTTTTAAGATACAATTCGCAATTAACCCTTTTTTTTATATATGATATTATATAATAAATACTGATCTATATACACATTCCAAAGACTAACTTAATGGTTGGAATCAAATAGTGTTGCCTGAAAGCCATTGGAATGGTGCTTAAGACCTTATGAAATGAGACAACTTGAAGAATTAATTTAATCGATATACCTTGTTGTAGTGCTTGTCTAGTTTGACGAAAATTACTTTGGAAAAATCCAGAGTATTAGACGAACTGAAGCCTTTGGTTTTGGTCATGACTTTTGCCCTAATAATTGTCATTTAATGAAAAATACATATATAATCATTTTTTTTTGTTTAAAATATATAGAGTGTGTGTGTGTCTTTGTTAACTCAAATACAATACTTAAAATGAATGTATTTGATATTTATTAATTAAATTCGTTTGATAACTAAAATTTAAACTCTTTTAATATATTTAGTGCTCCATAAAAATAGGTAGTAATATTAAGTAAGAGATCTCTTAATTAATTCTGAAAACTAAAAGCGCACAACAAAACCTCTTTAATAATATTTATAATATGACAATTATGTCTCAAAATATTTTACAATTCTATTAAAATTCTAATTAATCTTCTCTCCAAAACCCTAACCTATCTATTCGCTTAGCCGATTGTCTTCTTTAGTAGGTAACAGGTAAGTTTTTTCATTGTCTTCTTCTTCTTCTTTTTTTTTCCTTCCCTTGGCTTGTCCAACAAAAATATACATACATAATTACACACACATAGATGCACGCATTGCACACACATAGATACATACACTGCACACACACATAGTTATACGCACTGCACACACAATTTAACTTAAGTTAATTTTATTATCATGTATTGTTAAATGTAGATTACAATATGATA